GGTTTGGAGAAGAATGCCAGAAGGTCCTTACATGGTTTTCACTGTAATAGCCATTGTCAAACATGACAAATGCAATCAAGTGTGGTACAATTTATTATATTCCTTGGAAAATATTAATATATTCCTGAAAATGTTTGCATTTGAGAACAAAGGGTTCCCTAAAGACTCAATACCTGCTGGTGAGGTAAGACTGGCTAACAGGTGCTGGCCAATCTTCTTCTGTGGAGGGAAGGGACTCTTGAAGATGTAGCAGGGTACGGAATAGAGTGAAAGTTTCCTCATGGTCTCCACCTGCCTTTGTTCCCCACAGAAGGTAAAGGTTTTCCCTGTCCAGTCATGTCCAACTTTAGGGAGTGGTGCTCATCTTCATTTCTTAGCTGAGGGGCTCAGCATCATCTAATGATATTTCCATGGTCATGTGGCCACTGTGTCTATATACCAAAGTGCATGGAATGCTGTTACTTTCCCACCGAAGAAGTACCTATTTATCTACTTGCATTTGCATGTTTTCAAACTACTAGATGGGTAAACTGTTTTTTTCATCAGGGCAACCTGGTCTATCCGATTATGGAACAGTGCATACTACTCCACTTTTGCCTTTCAGTCCCAATCCAGGAGCCTTCACAGGCAATCATTTTCATGACAACCTATTTTTTTTGTTGGATTTATCTTTTACTAAATGGGTAGGAGCTGGGGCAAGTAATGGGAACTCACCCCATCACATGGTGCTTGGTTCTCGAACTGTTAATCTTCTGGTCAACAAGCCATGCATCTTAACCATTAGGCCATTTTGCCTTCTGTTGCCTACTCCCAGAATAATTGCAGGGAGTTTCATGGAGGAGGAGGAGTGATTTCCAATGCTCATTGCCAGCTTCTCACAAGCAATGGGGAAGCTGGCAGGAAGTCAGAAATCACTCTTGCTTCTTTTTTGCCCATTGGGGATCAATCAGTTTCTCTGTTTAGGTAAGGAAATATCAATGAAAGATAACTGGGTCCTGAGTTGTCTGGTTGCTTTTATTTGCCCAAATCTAGATTTTTAATGTAAGTAAAGCCATAAATTAGATGCACAAGTTATAAATTCATCCCATTCTTATACGTAAGTTCCAGACTGTCTTCTGTCGTGGAATTACAAATTTAGCAGATATCACTAGAGGGAGCTAATAGTCCTTCAAACAGTCATAACAGTTTCAATAGGGAGATTTATCATCAATTATTTGCTTTTCTCTGTGCCCCTTTCCACCCATTTTCAGATAAGTTCATGTTCTTGTAGACATTTAGTTAGATTTCAGTAATACAGGAATTTTTTTCCCCTGCAACAGGAGAGAAAACTTGCCCTGATTTTGAATGATTTCAAATGTCTGGCCCCCAGACAGAGATCTTACTGTATTTTGAAAGATGCACAGTGCTATTTCAATAAAAACCATCACATACAACGGTGGAAAAAAACATTTAATTCAGTCCACACCAGCTGGGGTAGGCCAGGATAACTGGTTGCAGCTGAGGGCAATAGGGCCATAGGGATAATGATATCAGAATTTTGGTGTGAGGTTATATAGAGTATGGCTATTTAAGGTGAGCTAAGTGTATCGATCTAGCACATTATTTCTTTGTTTTTCCTTCCTGAACTCACTGAAAAATTGCATTACCAAAGGTGAATAAATTGGAGTCAGAGGTCATCAGCACAATCTTGAGTGGGAAAAAGTGTTTTGTGGGGTTTTTTTTCTCTTGGAAATAAATCCATGGCACATTTAGATTGTGTACAAGTGATTTCAGGGATATGGTGTCTAAGTTTCCGAGCGGGTATGTTCCATGAAGACTTACTTCAAAGTAGGTCTAATTTAGCTCTAGGAGACATGCTTCTGAAGAGAAGTTTAATGTTTTTGTCTTTGTTTATAATTTTTTCCTCCCCTTTTTTCTGAGCCCCTTGTCATATGGCTAAAACACACACCTGATATCATAGCATTAAATTATAAGTTTAAGCAATCAACCTTATTAGTTACAGTGTATCAAACTTTTTCTTTAAAAAAAAACATTATTTTCTAAACTATAAAGAAATATGTACATTCACATAGACACTCTGATTATGGAATGTCCAGATATAACTGACTTTGAACATTGTCAGCATTGGTCCCTAATCAAAAGGCCTGTTGGTTGCCACTGCTGGATTGAGTTTTTGCTGATGTATTTCTTTCTCTCCTGCTTATGTTCACGCTTCTAAATGAAAATCAAAACCAACAACATTAGAATAGA